GATGAGGGGAAGCTTCGTTCGTCTTCGGGCTGTTGAGAGGGCGTCTAGGTGCGTGGGTCAAAGGTAAACACGGCCGACTTCTTAAAACGGTCCAACCATTGAATTCTTAAACATCTGATCCTTACGCGCACTTGGGTTTTGTCGCACCCAGCTGTACACCCAAAAGGAAAATGGGGGGGATTATGATTGTCTTGCAACTCTCAGGGATTATTTGATGCTACTAGCTGATCTAGCGGTAAACTTCATTCTGAGCTATTCACGGCAATTTGTTAGGGCTGTTAGAAAATGATTGTTGCGTAAGAAAGTTTTTATTATTATGTAAGATTGTAACCGTGAATACTAAATACGGTTTATAGGTTCATAAATGAGGATTGCAGTCGTAGTCGTAGATGTTTGTTTTGTTACAACTAAAGTGTATAACTGTAAGGAGTTGTTCTTAAACATAAAATTAGTACTTGTGGTCGCTTTAATTGTGGTTTGTTTTCTAAAAAAAAGGTTTTTTTAAAGCCGGTAAAATAATGCAATTGCTTAAACAAATCATTACATGTAAACATTATAATCAGACAGTATTGGTAGAGCACTTGTTGCTGCGAGCTCATCTATTTTATCTACGGTAAACTAGCAACATTTTAAGTCGCATCTCCAAGGTTTTTGACACGGTAAATACGAGGTATACAACTATACATGCTTCATGGTCTTTTTTCTGGGGAAAAAAGTAAAATAATAAATTCCCCTTCTCCCCGCTTCATCCAAAATTTTGTTATACCAAATTTCGAAAACTCACTATCACCGTGGATAAACTCAATTCCAAGGAAAAGGGACCCACAAGTCAAAAACAGGGTTCAAGTGTCAGTCTCATACAAGCTCTTTGCTCTAAAGAATAATGAAGAGGCAAAGGTTCATGTACGGCTGAAAAGCACCATACTTTGCTTTTCGGTAAGGTTACACTCTAATTAACTCGCCTAAAGCCGCAAATAAATTATTCTAGTCACGGTGATCGTCAAGTTGCAGTTGGATGTGACTCCGGTGCATCTCCCCTTGATCATCTCATACTACGCACGTGGTGGCTAAGGTTTTCATGCTACGATTCCACTGGTGGAATTTGATCCATTGAATTGGAAATCTAACGCAACAAAACGACAAAGGAGTCTTGCGGTCAGCATCTTATGCTGATGTCACTGCCAACGTCCACAGACTGACTACTCCTATGTGGGTTTTTATCATGTTTTTGTTTGATCAATCACATAATCACAATCTAGTGGCCGCTGATTTCATTTTGTTAAATGTGACCCGCAGTATGGTTACCACCCTTACTCTCTGCTCATCTAATAAAGTGATTTGTCATCTCATACCATATTTGCTTTTTGTTAAAATCAATTTGTAAACAGTATAATCAATTATATTGTCATGCAAAAAGGAGAAAGAAAAAACTACACTTTTTTAAAACTGAAGAACTTCTGTACATAAATAAAAGTAAAATTCACAAGACCAACTATGTGATAAGTACACAAGTTTTCACTTTCTTGATAACTAACCAGGATCAATAACTAATCAAATGATACATTTTCTAACATGTTGTATACCTTTGTCCACTTGATTTTGGGTAAAAAAACAAGTCCTATGTGGATTGTTGGATAGCAGATTTCTAATATGTTTCCTAATTTGTTTTGGTAATAGGTTATTGGGATTCCTAATCTGTTTTGGTAACATGATTTCAAATCTGTTTTGGTGACATGTTATTAGGATTCCTAATCTGTTTTGTTTTTGGTTTTAGAATTCCTAGTATGTTTTTGGTTTTAGGATTTCTATATATATGGAACGATTGGAAGACATAATTGAGCAGCAACGGGGATATTTGGAGTACAGAAAAGAGGTATTTTATGAGCTATTGGTTAGGGTTTTGTTTGGAGAGAATTAGAGTTTTGTTGGTGAGATTAATTGGTGAGTTTGTGTGATTTTATAATCTCAGTTTGTACTCTTCTATCCTATTAGTGAAAACCCCATCCCCTTCTAGCACTGTGGACGTAGGTAACTTGTCGAACCACGTTAAAATTGATTGTTTGTGTTCGTACCGTTATTTTGAATTGTTTGTGATCTTCTCTCTCAGCGTTTGTTTGATTTGGTCTCTCGAAGCACATCGGTTTGGTTTGGATAGCAGGTTCCTAATATGTTTCATAATTTATTTTGGTAACAGGTTATTGGGATTCTTATTCTGTTTTGGTAACAAATTCCAAATCTGTTTTGGTAACATGTTATTAGGATTCCTAATCTGTTTTGTTTTTTGTTTTAGAATTCCTAGTATGTTTTTTGGTTTTAGGATTTCTATATATATGGAACGATTGGAAGAGAGAATTGAGTAGCAAAGGGGATATTTGGAGCACAGAAAAGAGGTATTTTCTGAGCTATTGGTTAGGGTTTTGTTTGGAGAGAATTAGAGCTTTGTTGGTGAGATTAATTGGTGAGTTTGTATGATTTTGTAATCTCAGTTTGTACTCTTCTTCTCTATTAGTGAAAACCCCATCCCCTTGTTTGTATGATTTTGTAATCTCAGTTTGTACTCTTCTTCTCTATTAGTGAAAACCCCATCCCCTTCTTGCCCCGTAGATGTAGGTAACTTGCCGAACCACGTTAAAATTGGTTGTTTGTGTTCGTGCCGTTATTTTGAATTGTTTGTGGCCTTCTCTCTCGGCGATTGTTATTTGATTTGGTCTCTCGAAGCACATCGGTTTGGTTTTGGCTTTCGCCGCGCACAACAAGTGGTATCAGAGCTCGAGCTACGCTTGGGCTATTTGAAGAAGTAGATCGTTTTAGAGGCTCGTCTAGGGCTTCGTTTGATGATAAAGGTAGGATCTTTTTGGTAAAGACTCTATATTTTTCAATTTTGGATCTATTCTTCGTTCGTTCCGCTTTGATTTGTTGGTGCTTTGAGAAAGATGATCGAGAAAGAAGGAGTCGTGGAGAATACTTTCGATGTGAAGACCGTCCAAAGTTTGAATATCTACTTTATGAAAATAGATATGGAGAAGTTTAATGGCACAAACAATTTTGGTCTTTGGAGATGTGAAGTCTTGGATGCGCTTAACGCGTAAAATTTGAAAGACACATAGGAGTTGGAAGGAAAACTAGACGACATTGAGGAGAAGGTTCGGAAGAAGATGAATAGAACGACATGTGGTGTGATTAGATCTTTTTTGACTCAAGATTTAAAATATGATGTGATCAATAAGGCTTCGGCTAAGAATATTTGGGAGATCCTTGAGAGCAAGTATTTAACCAAAAGTGTAGAGAACCGCTTACATTTGAAGAGTAGGCTTTATCGCTTCCATTAGTGATCACATGAACCACTACACGAAACTTCTTACGGATTTGGCGAATGTAGATGTGATGATTGAAGATGAGGACAATGCGTTGTTATTGTTGAGTTTCTTGCCCGACGAGGAATATGAGACATTCGTTCTTACTCTTATTAATGAGAAAACATTTCTTTCGTATAGTGAGGTCACCGCTGTACTTGTGAATTATCAGCTTCGAAAGAAGGATAAGGAGACTTCAGTTGAACCGGTAGCGGGAGCATTTGTCGCAAGCGTAAAGAGTCTAAACCGAAATAGGAGGTCACAGTCTAGAAGGACACATCCTGGAGTTTGTAGGAATGAGTGTGCCTTTTGTAAAGAGGATGGACATTGGAAAGCCGAATGCTAAAAGTTGAAAAATAGAGCCGGGAAGAATAAAGGAAAAGCTATTTAAGTTTCAGAGGTGAATGTTGTCAAGGCTAGTGATGACAATTCAGATTCGGATTCTTTGGGCTATTTATTAGCACTACCGTCAGCTTGTATTACCGACTCTACAAAGTGGGTGTTGGATTCAAGTGCTTCTTACCACATTTGCCCTAGGGAGGGATTGGTTCTCTAACTTTTAGGAGTTAGAAAGAGGGGATGTCGTGCTCATGGGTAATAATCATGAATGCCCTATTGGTGGTATCAGTATCGTTCCGTATTAGGATGTGTGACGGAGTGATTCAGGAGTTGGATGAAGTGAGGTTTGTTCCTCAGTTGAAGAAGAACATCATTTTACTTAAAGTTTTGGAGGTAGCAGGCTATAGGGTGACCTTAGAGGATGCATGTTTGAAGGTCATATTTGGGTCCATGATTGTGATAAAGGGCGTCAGGAGGAAGAATTTATACTATTTGATTGGAAGCATGGTGATTGATAGAGAACTGATGACTTCTTTAGATTTGGCTAGACTGTGACATTTATTAAGGCTGAGATATTTGATTGGTTATGCCGTACATGGTTTATTGAGGAGTGCTTTGGCCTGCAGATTGAAGTCATTTGAGAACATTGATATGAGTAAGAAGACCGATGTGGAGTTTGGTACTTCTATCCATCGATCGAGGGGTCTTTTAGGTGGTGTTCATTCAGGCATTTGGGCTCCTTCCAAGGAGGCATCGTTGAGAGGTAATAGGTATTTTATTTCTGTAGTTAGGGACTGTTCTAGGTATTGGTGGGTTGCAATCAAGTCCCGTTGGTTTGAAATCCTAGAAGTCAATAACAGATGGAGGAAGTGTGTTGGTAGAAAGGTAACCCGTCGTTTTATTTTTGATAAGGGTCCTTTCTTGCGTTTGTGCCGAGCTCACGGCAGTTTGAGACACTTCATTGGAGAGGAAACATTGAGGCAGTGAGATGAGATGACAGTTTTGATAGATTGTTCCTTGCTGGAGGAGGATCAGCGTTGGTTGTCGAGCATTGGATTGCAGAGGAGTTTTGAAGCTTTGACATATTTGGGTCATCTTAGTCATAGGTTACAGACTGCTGCGTGTGAAAAATTTTAGATCTGGTGGAGCTGCTTCAAATTTTGGGTTGCGTCAGATGTTTGGTTGCCCAGTATTTGGTCACATCAAGGATGTGAGATTTGATCCGATTGTATATTTGGGATTTAGAGGCTCGTTTGGTTATCAGTTGGGAGACTTTAATTTTATTCTGAGC